AATTTCTAATGATAAATCCTTGCTATAATGTAATAATACTACGTGCTTCATTAATTATAATTTTGTCGCAAACATTATGTTAAATCCTTATATCGTGGATGATGTGAAAATCAAATACGAGAAATTACAATATTCAAGAAGCTTAGCGAGTCTAACGAGGACACGATGAATTCTCATGGTTCATCATTAGATACTTTAATTATTCCCTAAGAAACAGATTTTATACTTATTATTTCGAATGTATTTGAGGAAGCATTTTTTCCCGATTGTTGAGAATTTTAGTTACGCAATTCAACTTTTAATTAAAGTGATCAATTTTTCTGATATTGTAAATCCATTCACCTTTAATAAAAGTAGAATTATTAAATTTAATTATATTTCTTGCAATCCGATTATTTACCAGTATTGAGAAATTTAATTACTGCGTATTTTCTTTTAATTAGCTCATACTTTTTTTTAATATATTTATATTCTGTTATCTACAGTATATATCGTTATAAATTGAGTGATTTACAATTTAAATTACTGTTAATTATACTGCATATTATTTTATCTATATAATCGTATCAATAATGTAATATGCAATAGCAATTCTTGTACCAATTAAATTTTGTGTTACTCATTTGCATTTAGAGCTGTTAAAAAATTCAATCTTTTTCATGTTTTATTGATTAATATTATAACTTCATGATTCATTCGATTACTTTGTGCTTATAAATTTAATAATAAACAATTTATTGTTAATTTAAGTGTAATCATTCAAAGTCAGAGTTATTCAATTTATTTTACGATAGCACGTTAAAAATTAGATTGGATATCCCGTATAACAAATAACAAGTACCAAGTTACGCATTGCAGCGTGGAGATTGAAGTTATGTTATGGTCAAGATATATCATTTTTCATAGAAATTGAGATCGACGATGCTAGGAATACATTAACCTGGAAATTTCAATCGCGAATTTTTCTGGAAATGATGAAGATGCGAAAGAAAACATTCTGTTAATCTCCGGCTAAAGAGACACATCCGCATAGTAAACTTTAGAAAATTACGTCTATTTTCGAGAAAAGAGATGAAAGGAAAATTTGAATACAATGATAGGTGTATCAACCATTTCATCGTTGTTTGTGAATATAAATTGAACGCTCTTTCCCCTACGGAGTGAGGTTTTCCCCTACACATTGTGTTGTATTACCTGCGAGACTGTACCTCGTACATTTTTTTCGAAATGGAAATAGCAGACCGAAACAAAACCGTACATAATATGTTTATATTAGACTGGAAGAAAAAGAGTTGCGATTGCGAATTTTTACAATAGACGTGTCGCTGAACCAGAATTTTCCTGTTTGTAAATTGACTTTATTTTCTCTGAATTAAATCTTTTGAATCCTTTAGACAATTGGAAAACTTCTTTCTATGATTTTTATACATTTTCGTAATTTTAATACGTTGCTAATACAACTTATTAACTAATTCATCTAACTAATGAATTAACTAATTCATCAAACGCGCTTGACTTTCTCCAGCAGTTGTGTTATTCATATAAAATGATACTCATAGATTAATTAACAAATGTAAGAGACAAAGATACAATTATCCAGTCAAATAAATTACGTACGGTATAATTAATTAGAAATAATTGCCCTTTACTTGAAGTGTCGCGAGGCTGCGATATTAATCGAAAATTTCTCAAAATTGATATAAATGCGATCGACAAACGTTATACAGGCTGACGAGAATCTCGTTGTAACATTGCCATTGGCAATACAGCCGGGCAGAGTGCAATCTGCGATATGGCTAATGCACGCCAATCTCGTTAATGGACAATCGAGTGCAGCGTATCGCTTGCTGATTTGTGTTTTTGCGCCTGTTAAAAAGCACTCCAATGACAAAATCAATCATTTTTCTTGACCCAGCACTTATTAGTCGCACGATGTTAAATTGCAAAACGTCTATTAACCGACATTTAATTGCCGCAGATTGGCGCGCAATGTTAATCGTTTGATTGAAATTGCAGAAGTGGCGCTGTAAGCCGCAATTGACTGAGTGTTAGCCGTGAATCAGTGATGCGGCTTGTGCGTGGCAACTATACCCGTGATCAACAAAAGCCTCAATGTTTCCGTTGTTCTCTCGTGTAAACAATCCGATAGTTCGATACTAAAAAAACGCTATGTATAGCCGTACTAAATATGATATCAAGTGCCGCCTAATTTGTCCCGAGATTTTCTTCATAGAAAATTTTATCTCTTTCTACAATCTTCATTAACTCTCGATTCAATCTTTTCCAGAAATTTTGTACCTAAGATTTTTTCTTTTCGATGAAAAGCCTAATTTTAATTTTAATAGAAATTTTGTTATTGCAAAATAATTCTTGAGGTAGTGTTAGCATGAAAGAGTTAATCAACGTCAGACAGACTCGTAAATCCTACGTCTCTAATTTCAGCTGATTGCGTTTGCAATTCCTGTCATAGGACGAATATCGTTCATATTGGAGAGTAACACGTGCAGTTTCCGCGCTCCAATTTCGACGCATCCTCGTATTTGGACTCAATTACTGGTCATAACGACAATTTTCGATCAGCATCATGCGGCGTTCGATTGCTTTGAGATGGATTAGGCAGGTAATACGGAATGATATAGCTTGGCGTTTGATTGGGCTTTGCCAAACGGCAAGAAAATCTGCAAATTGAACAAAGTCGTTGTCTATGGCACCGCCGGAAAGTTGCGGCACGTTTGCCGAGCGCATCTCTGTGAATTAACGATGCAACTAGTAGAGCCTGACGCTACGTGATCAACGGAGGTCCCTATTGCCGTTTGTTCAATGCTATCGATCTAACGCGAGAAAAAATGCCGCGCAATACAAGGGCTACTGTGTGAACCGATTCGAAAAATTGGACGGAATTTTTTAACATATAGACCGAAACGTATTGTCACGTTCATCGGAATTGTACTGAAGTTTTGTATTTCACATGCGAAAATTGGATGTAATTACAAAAAGGGAAATGGTCAGTACTTGAATGCCTGTTGCGCAGTGTAGTTGGATCGTTTTAACAAACGAATATTTAATTAGAAAAAGAGGCTAAATATATTTTATTTATTTATTTTTCGTGCGTTTTATTTATTCATATTTAAATCGATATTTCGAAATAATTTCGTTGCGTTGGTGCAACATCAATAAACGGAGTTTTTCATCTCTCTCGTAAGGAAACTAATTTATCTCAAGGCACAAAAATCATTCATTAGCGTTTCCCTTATAGAATCAATCATCATAATTACTATACGTGTCATAAAAGCGTATACATATACGTATGCGTATGTGAGGGCGACTTAGTGTTTCATTTATTCACCATCGCCATGACGCTCGATCTTACTTTAGCCGAGACGAATCTTTCCCGAAGCATAGACGTCTTTCGTGATCCTCTTTGACGAAACTTTATTCATTTCGGTCTCTGTAATCTGGCTTAATTAAACTTCCACTTCTCGCCCCGCTATCCCGGCTTCCGGGCGGATTAGTCGAACGTGCCGTCTTAAGTCTATACCGGATCCGGATCCGGATCGAACAAAAAATTTCACGTCCGGTAGATCCACCGCATTGCGCAACGACATCGTTGAACGCTGCGTACGCTCGTCGTAGCAAGCTGAAAATAGATAGAGCGCGATAAAAAGTAACAGGATAAGGCGTTTCGAGAACGTGTTTGCGTTTTACGCGCAACTAAACTCTATTCGCCTTCATCACTCGATGAAAGCGCGCGTAAAAGCTGCTGCGATTAAATGATGTATCACGTAAGAGCCTTTCGTTTTTATCGCCTCGACTATACTCGGGTCTTTACCCTGGTAATTGCTCATATAATGCCGCTCTTTGTGAAAATCACAACTATCTAGACGCAATTTAACTCGCGAAAAATGATTAAAACAATCTATAAAATTTTGCTCTGCTGGACAAATGTCAGTAGTAATACAGGCTTTTGCATAAAATATTGCAGGCTGTACGCAAAAACTAAATTGCATTAAAATTAATTCGGTATAAATCGATAATATTTCTTTATTTATAACGAATTTATGACGAATAACTTATAGTGACTGTTTCAACGTTAGGGAATTTAGTTTTTAAGTCACGTGAAATGTCAAATATTATTTACGTAAAAAGAGTTCTGGAATAGATAAAGTTTGCGAATTGCATTACACCACCTGCATCTTTAATCAAAGAAAATCTCTCGAGTGTCGCAATGTAGAAATTCGATATGGCGCGAGTGAGTGTTGCACGTCGCCAAGAAAAAAGGCAAACGGCGAAAGCGCACTAGATCAGCTGACGTATATGCGTTTACCCTACGCGCGCGTATGGTTCGTTAGCTTGGCCGGTGCCTAAATATAGAAGACATATGATCTGCTTGTTTTGAAAGTGGCGTAAGTGAAGTTTCGGAAAACTATAAATTTTCATGAGGAACAAGTACAGATTTATGACGTTTTCGTCTATCAATTAACTGTTTAAGACTTATTTAAAGAAAAAAAAGTGTCATATTAATAACGCATTCATTAAAAAGTGAAAAGGAAATAGTACAGATATTCTAGAAATTATTATTAAAATATTAAAACACCTGTTCTTTCGTTTAATAAATCATAGAATGAAATTATTCCAGTTCTCAGAAATTTTTAATTAAATCTTAGTTTTAGATAAAACTATTTATAGGTATCTGAGTTTTCTCTAGATCAATCATATCTCTTTTGAGCTATGGAATTCCTGGCAAAGTTTTAATTAAAGATTTATTAACTACATTAAGAATAAGAATAATTTTTGAAAGGAATAATTTGAAGGCAAATTTTCTTTTTTGCCTTTTTACATTTCTTGCTTCAACAAAGTTCTGCAATTTTCATTTGTTCCAAGCTTAAAACATTACCATTTTTTCTCATCCTCTCGTTAGCTTGAAATCTAATATTGTTGCTAGGAAACATAATTATATCGCGACATATTCGTCGGAATACCCGGGGGTGTTTCTTACTCACCGAGTACGAGTAGTAGCAGAACTTGTTGCGGGAGCCGAGCCACCATTGTGGGCCCGTCCGCTCGCACATCTATGAATTTAAATCGAGCGATCCTGCGGTGCCCCCTCGATTTTCCCGTCGCGATCGCCAGCGTCCACCGCAACAACATTCATTTAACGTTCTGCCGGGCTCTCACGTGAGCGTACGCGCCGCTTATTTAGTTTGTCCGCGCACACACGGATCTTTTCCACTTAACACTTCCTCGGGCGATAGTTCTCGATTGCGCTTCTTGTTTTTCCGCCGATATACACTCGTCGGGAATTCGGGAAAATTCTGACACTCGAGAAAATAACCACTTTTGCAGATCGTGCTGCACACACTCACATCCAATTAATTTCTCATCCGAATGTGATCTCTGAAATTCGTGAAAATGTAGTGCGAAACCGGTTCACAGTTACGCGTTACGCGATCGTGCGAAACGCCATCGGCGCGCGTTTTCAAAATGACGGCTTTTTTTCTTTTTTTCAACTGATCGCGATTTGGCCAGATGGCCCGACATTAATCGGCCCGCAGTGCTCTGGCCGTGATTGGGTCGCATTCAAAACCCGGTATCTGTGCACATAAATATTTTAGGGGTGCGTTTGCCAGCGGGGGCAGGGTGTTAGATAGGACGGACGGTCGGACGAATGGACGAGGTGCCGAGAGATAGACTCGCGGGAAAAATAATTTACAAGTGAAATACAACGTGACACCCGCCAGATAGTATCGGCACGGTGAATATAGCGGAAGCGGTCGCTCTGGTGAATCCTGTCGCTGACAGAAGTTCGGAAGGAGATGAGACGTAACGCGAGGCAGACTAAGAGCCTTGCGTACATATATGCGCGCAAGAATGTGCACAATCCTATGTGCCTCGTATATATACGTTATATTGTGTGTGCGTGTCCATTGCCGATCGCCGTGGACTATCGTGACAATTGCGTCCTAAAGAACTGAAGCGACGATGGTTAAATTGAAAACCGATAAACCCTTTCTTCTCGCAAGTTATCCGATTACTGTCGACTTTCCGTTGAATCCCGCGGCCGTCTCTCTTCCCTTCAAAACCGATTAGCAATATCCGATTTCCGAAAAGTATTTTGACGTATACAAATTTATGTATTATTTTTTGCTATTTTCACGTTCAATAAATTTGTGACAATCTTCAAAAAGAATGGAAGATGTTATTTAGTATAATAATTATTCTGATCTAAAGCCACAGATTCCAATAATTGATTCAAACAGTCGGGTTCGAATAAGCGATTATATAATCGTTAGAAATTTGCGTGGGATACCGGATAATGAGTTGTAAGCAGATACGTTATGTCAAGTAACAAACGACAAGATAAAGCTGTACATAATATCCTGTGCTCGTGAAATTGTAGGCACAATCGACACGTCGATTCGCGCGCATATACAACGCAAGGCCTTTGCCTTGCTATGAATAACGCGTGTTACACTTACGAATGGTGGGAACCGCGTGCGAATAACCGAGTTACTGTCACGTCGAGGCACGGTTAAAAAGGCGAGGATCGAACAGAATGTCGATTTGACTTGAGCGCGAGTTACAGGCCGCTTAATGAATTTATCGATTTAACGAATCGAGATATGACAACGGCGTTTCGCAACGTTCGTAATTTCACCGCATTAAAATGCGAACGTGCGCTTTGTGCGAATATCGCTAGTCCACATGCGGGGCTCTCTGCATTCGCGTCGTTTCTATTTCGCGCGTTCATTCTTCCCCTCTGATGCGGATTCACTTTTTCTCTACGGGGAATAAAAACGGTCGTTTAGCTCGTGCCGCAGCGTCAACAAAGTGGAAGTAAAAATCGCGTGACACTCAGTGGCGTGGCGGCGGCGCTTCGCACTATGAAGTGTCGCAAGTATAAACTTGTCGCTAAGGCTTTATCTGATTCCGCTAGATCAATTATTTAAATAACTTTTTTTCATAAAAATTATTTAAAAAATTTTATTTCGTTAAAATATACTAAGTTCTGAAAAAATATATATACTTTTTTATGTAAAATTTTTTACATAAACTTATTTGATAAGCAAAAAAAAGGATAATATATAGAACATTGTTTTCATGACTTGTATAATAATAGCATTATGAATAAAAAAGATAATATTGCATAACGATTATAGAAAAAAAGAGACATATGTAGTTAAATATAGACTTATCAGTGTTTTTAATTAAAATATAAACAAATTTTTTATATTAATGTAAAAATAAAATTAAAACCATGAAATTTTTGCTTTATAAATTTTGCAGTAAAAATTCTATTGTAAAGGATTTTGCTTTTCCAGTCACAATAAATTCGTCTCTCTTTCTCTACGCACAGCTGAATATGCATGATTGCGCGAAGGGTCACTTGGCAGAACGATTTCTGCCTACACGTTTTCGAATTTCGTCGCAATTTTGCCAACCCTCGCAATAACTCCACTATTTTTCATTCTTGACGTATCGTGATGTCCTTTTAAATTATGCCTGACATCGTGTGTGATACCCTCTCATATGCAATATCGTACGTGAGCTTATTTTTTGAATTATTTATAGAATTATTTGAATAAGAAAATGACCATAAATCGCAATATTAACAAATCAATCAAAAAATTTTTTTAAATTTATTTATTTATTTAAAAATTTATATTTTATTCCGTATTTCTAGAAATAGCAGTGTCCTCACGAAATATTTGCATTTCAGTCTGTTTCTAGTTTTTATTTTTCTTGTTGTCAGTTGCATTTTCTAGTTTTTATTTGTGATTATAGAAAGTAAAAGAAAAATAATTGGCATAGTTTCAGCAAATCTTGTGACAAGACTCGTTTGGAAAAAAAAGCAGTGTCAGATACGCGCGAATTAATCTGATTTTCTCTCACGCTATATTCCTATTATTTGCTCATGTGTGAATTAATATTCGATTTAAAAATTGCTCAAATTTTTACAATTTTTCCAACCCCATTTTATTACTGTTCGCGTATTGTAAATTTAAAAAATTAACGCATTTGGTTATTATTATTTATTTATTTATTCTTTATTAATAATCGATTATGCCACTCATAGTTGTTTAATAAAAAAGTACGCGAACCGCCTCTTGTCGTAGTAATATTATCTACAAAAACGCAGTACATGAAACATTACACTTTTTTATGTAATCTACATTCTTTCGCAATATTTTTGCAGTGTTAGGGGATGCCGTTTTAAGGGATAATCAAATTAGAACAACGCAAATATTTTAATGCAAAGATTTGATTTATGTCACGTTCGAAACGTACGATTTATGCAATCGAGGAAATTCTGAAGAGTGAAGAAGAAATGATCGGGCGAACGAGTTTTCGTTGTCACATCCACGTGCCTGGAATACTTGGCGCCTTTCTTCTCTGCGCACGTATTCCTTTTCAACGACTGACGCATAACTCTTTTCGCAAGAGTCGAGGCACAGCCGCTACCGCGAACGTTCTTCAAGAATAGCCGCGCATTCGCGCTCTCGCTGCATATCTCTCGCGGTCTGCATTCGGGCGCGGCATAATTCGCGAGAAATCTCCGAGTTTCATAAACGCTTTCACGCCGTCATACTCTCGCGAAATTTGCTCTCGTAAAAAAAAGAACCTCAATACGATCCTCTCGAATCGGACGTTGAGAACCGTGTTTATTGCGTCCTCGACATGTAGGTTGATCTGTCATTTAAAAAGCTCGCAATCCCGTCGTTTAAAAAAGCTCGCAGTTACTGTTCCGAAAAATTCGCAGATTATTCGAAGGTCGTTATTCACGGTGACGAAACAACGTCCGCGTGGATGAGTTTCGTTTCGTCGCGCTCGTCATCGCGCCGTTATTACCGATGATCGTTTCGAAATTATCTTATCAAAATTATTGCAAAGCGGGACGGCAGCTCTCGAGGCCGCTTGGCGAGCTGCCGAGATTTTTCACGGATATTTTTGTCGCGCAGGCCTCCGATTGCATCGGTCCAAATTGCCTCCGCTACCAGCATGCTTTCTGCAAGTAATTCACGCGCCGCCTTTAATCACACGATCGCGTCTCGCACGACTCGTAAATGGATACGTACAAAATAGATACGTTTTTAAATGAGAGAAGCGTCTCTCGTATCCCCGAGGCATCCGCTCGAAAATCCAATCTCGATCAGTCTCGGGCAACATGCGCGTCCACGCGTAACGCACGTTCGTGAGACACACGCACTTTTCACTGCCGTTGCACACGAAACGCACGCACGTGGCTCTTGTCTCGCGGAGTCAACCGTGCCGTCGCGCCGCCGCCGCTGTTGCCGACCGAGCGAGCAAGTAGTAAAACCCTCGATGCGTCGCGCGCGGACTCCGACCGCCGACTGACTACTAGCCACGGTCTGCACTCCGGGCTCCGGGGGTTGTTTCTACTGTCTCGCTTGCGCGTCTCTTCTGGCGTCGTCTCCGTTGCGCCGATCACCGACGCATTATTCTCCCGAGGCTAGATTTCTAGCGCGAAACTCCTGTAAAAGTCACCCCAAAGAAACCGTTAATGATAATAATTGCTTTTTCTGCTGTTGTTAGTTACGCCAAAATTTCTTCACAGTAATTTCTTATGCACAGTAGATGAAATATTAAACGCGAAATATTTTAATCATACTTGAGCAACTAAAATCTTATGAAATGTCTTAACTTATTTAATGGCATGTTATTTGTATGCATGTATACTTTGCTAGAGGGAAAAATATAAAGTATAATATGCGGTAATATATCTTTATTCTACTGATACTGATTTAATTTCTTGCTTCCTATCATTTTTCCCTTTGTAATGTCATAATGAAATAATAAACGGTCGGATTCTACGCCTTTCCTATGCATTATTCATAATGAGGAATGCAAGTTCACAAACACCGACGGAATAGCCAAGTAAATGAAAGAGGAACAGGATTTATAAGTCAGTCGAACCAAGAGAATATTTCTTTTCTTAACTTTTAAATTAACGTAGATGAATTACAGAATCGAAATTGTCAGCTAGAGAAGATCAGCGGTGAAAGCTTTAATAATAAGAATATCAATTTCATGACATTACGATAGAAGCAAAATTATAATAACTTGTTATTAACTTCTTTCTACTTAATTATAACAAACTTTGAGAGGTCATTCAAACTGTATTATGATAATTGTTAGCTACAACTTCTTAATGAAAGTTTGTGATTTAGTTAACTTGCGGTAAATGAAACTTGGTTGTTGTTGAAAAGAAATTGAATCTTAACCGATCTACGAAGAATTGGTCTAAATATTATCCCAGCATTCCTTTTTTACAAAATTCTGAAAAATTTTTATAATAAACAATTTTATAAAGGACATTTCAATAGAATAGTTTCTAACGCATATTGAATAAGATACATATTTGTTTAGTTGATACAAATAAATATTGAAAAATAATCTTTGATCGCGTATAAAACGTGTCGATCAAAAGTTTATGGTTGATGACAATTTGACAATTGTCGTAATTTAATAATAGAACATTATATGTGGATAAGTGTTACGTCCCAATGGAGGCATTCTTATTGCAAAGCTGTGACGCGGCGATCTGATAGAGCACCTGTCATTAACAAACTTGGGCCAGTTTTTCTTCCAATTCACGCAGGCATTCAACGCTTGCCAAAAGCGATGCTTATTTGCGTAAAATACAGACTGCAATTGCGTACATCATTATCCAAACATTAAAAAATCTATTTTGCTATTTTAATTCTAATTAAAAAACTTTATAATTAAAGTTTTTTACAACTAAAATTATTTTTAGATTACAAGAAATTAAATATCTGAAGATGCATCTATGAGTTCACAAAAATCCAAAAACCTGAAAATTTTGTTATTATCTTTTTTTAATTTCTAAAATATGCAATAATTCAAAAAAATTTATTAGTTGTTCGGATCGCAAATTTTAATCACTCTCGTCGATCATTAGATTGAATTGGCGTTTGCAAGAGCCTGTGCAATTCTAGAGAACTACAAATTAACTTACGTTCAACTACTCTAAGTTTGTTTCCGGTCTAATTTATATACCGCGGTGCTCACGTTGCTGAAAAACAAGGATGGAGTTGCGCTATTTGTCTCCTGTATCTAGTGCATTGTTTCATAAGACCGCATACTAAGGGTAACTATAACGAAAGCGACTCACGTTTTGTTGCGTGTTGTTGAGAGAGAATTTCCTTTCTAGAGAATAAGACAAACCTTTACTTTCATTCGGTTAAAAGCTATGCTAACTGTTTTTTTACACACATTATTCTCAAATTGGTTAATAATAGAGTACGATGCAAATAGAATAATTATTTTATAAATGTTTTATCGATTTTTTTCAACAACTTTTACGATTACATTTATGTTATAATATTAATTCAATGGTTATCACAAGAAAATTTCAATAGGACATTTAAATTACGTATTGTTCAATAATTAAAAGTTATTTATGTAAGGCCAACAAAAGGTAATTTCTTTGTGTGTTATTTATTTAGTTTATTTATGATAGTTATATGTTTAATTAATTTCACTAAATTAATGAAAAGCATTGGGTGTTTATTACGCGCAAATAATTAGTTTCCAAAAGACATATGATAAAAGGCAAATTTGCATTGATTTCGCTTTTGAATGCAATTGATAATTTCATTATTATAAACACTTGTAACATATATAATTGTAATCTGATGTATATGTATAGTAAAACCAAATATTTGAAATCTATTGAAATTAATACCACATCAATTTGCAGAATTTTCGAACAAAATAAATTATTAAATATACTGTCATTACTTACTACGTGATCTCATTCATTATGTAATATCATTTTCACAACATTGGACAGTATTTCTTAATGTAGAAAGAGCATTCATTATATACTTATTCGAAACAGCACCTGTATTTCTTTTGCCCGATTCACACTGATTGCGAGCCGAAATGTGCAATTCTACGACGAACACTGAGAATAGTCGCTTTTTACGGCTGCCTTCTATTTTCAGAATTTTACCATTATTGCGAAGCGACTAAAAGAAAGATCTCATGAAATGCATTTCCAAGAGATTCTTGTCGCTTTGAGCGGCTCCATTCGAAAGCAGCAAATCCTTTGTCAGTTTTTGAGGTCGCCGTTTTATCGTCTTCTCGTACCCTTTTCGTCGTATCACCCTTCGAAAATCCCCGCAACCGATTAAATACCACGCGTCCTCAAAAGAAGTGTATCACGTGAAAGTATTCGGTGTATCACGTTGAAAGCGTTAGAGAATATTGTCCCAGGAAACGTTCAGAAGCAAATATATTGTATCTTTCGCTTTTAGCAGCGCAATCTGCTTTTATACTTAATCAGATATTTTACAGATGAATAACAGCACGCTAATTTATTATTATTACAAATCTGCTAAAAAAAAACGAGAAAATTAGCAAATTTTGAAAAAAGTTATACTGACATTTGGTTTCTACTTTTCTGCAACAACACCAGAGTTATTTATGAACGTTATATATTCTGATTAACGTTATATGGAGTTAATAAAATGAACGCAATTGTACGATAGTCGTGGCTAATTGGATTTTATTCCTCGTGGCGCCGCAATCGTAATCATTTTTAATCTTCATAGAGCTGAAAGATTTTTCCACATAAAGCCTTAGAGTTTTCATCTCTTTTTATATGGAAAATGGAAAGAGATTAAATACAAAAATAGTAAATAAAAGTCATGTAGGTATTGCAATACAAAACATGGCTCGCTGTTTCCTTTACTTTTATTAAATAAAGCCAGGTCGCAGTACAGCTTGTTTCGCGCGTTGCGATTGATTGATATAAAAGTAAATGTTATTTGAAAATGTTGATGACAGCTAATTAATATTAAGAATAATGTTATAATTTAAAGTTGTTCTAGTGGTTACTTGTATGATTTTAGCTCAACAGTGAGCGCCAGTGCGAAACTTTCTTATCTTCTATCGCAATGCGAGACAGGACTTCGCGTTATTTTTTTTTTTTTTTTCGTGCGAGATTAAAGGTGAATCTAAGATGGATAACGGGAATCGGTGCAAGATCCTGTCGCGTCGTCCGCGCACGCACACGTCCTGCCTCCATGGCCGTCTGGTAGACAGAGCTGATCTTTGTTGCATCTTCCATTCTCGTACTGACATACGTTGCTTACTGCGAACAAATAGTCGTAAATATTTGCGGAATTTCAGATGATATTAAATTTTTGTCTCTTTCTTTTTCTCCTTCTCTAAAGAAATTATCTTTAAAATGAAAGAAAGAGAGAAAAAAAAGGAAAATTTCAAAATTTTCTTAGCTTCGGTAGTAAATTGAAATTATATTAACATGTATATATATATAAATTTTATTTTCTTTTTTTTCTTTTGAGAAGCATATTTATGGAAATAAAACTTACTCCCTGGGCATGACTCGGGAATAGCCACAATGCCGTACAATTTTCCACTTCCACCAGGCGGAACAGACAATGGTGAGCGTCTTTCGCCATTAGTTTTCATGCCGACTTCGATCTTATGTCTGCAATACAAAGAATATAATATAAAAACTTTTACGTTTTACAGCGCTCTCTGAATTGTCATAAATATTTTATCGTCTTACGTTTTCCAATCGGTCCAATAGTAATGATATTGAGAAATTGCCAAACCAAACGGATAAGTAAGCTCATTAGCGACGACGTGGACTTTTTTACTGTCTATTTCAACGCAGCCTAAGAATAAGAGATTATTTGTTGTCAGAATACCAAATCCCACGGTAATGAAACGTATCGCGCCGTCGGACATTTTCCCTAAGATTAATGGATGCTATTTTGACGCGCTCACGTGATTAAAATCTATATTTACTTATCGTGAACGTCCCGGCGTCAGCCCAGCAGAGCTCATCCGTCGACCAATCGATACTTAATGAATTTGGCAGCTTAACGAAATCACCCTGAAGGAAGATTGCTCGATCTGTACCGTCTTCATTAGCCCACTCCAGTTTAGGAGAGGCGCGATTCCAGTCGGACCAAAATATTTTCCTGAAACGGCAATATTTAATATTATCTTTGCGAAAATAACAACAACAAATTACAAAATCATCTGAATTAATTCAAATGGACATTTTATTAAAGAAAATTAATTTTAAATTGTGCCTGAGAATCTGCAGATACAGAAGTAGATATAAACAAACTGAACTTTTTAATATATACGGTTTAATATATACGGCAAAATAATTCACGATACCTTGAAGAAACCACCCTGTTTTTATTTTATTTGTAAACTCAAGAGTGATCGCAATAAAATCGAAGTGAGTCTTGAAGTACAGTTTGGGTTCGACTGAAAAGTTTTGCAAATAGATTTCCACTGTGTCGGCATCCTTACCCCCGATATGGATGAACAGCTATTCCCCTTGGATTGACCAGTCCATCGGAAACGAGGACTTTGCGTTTCTTTGTCACAAGGCTGGCAACCTCGACGGTCGTCTTGCCTGAATCGGTCCAGAATATGTTCCTTGAGACCCAATCGACCGACAGTCCCTCAGGACTGCTAACTTTCGGAATGAATGTCTCTGCCTTCGAGCCGTTATAAGATAGCTCGACTATCCTGTTGCCTGTAAGAGATAAATTGCAATTTTATCCGGCGAACTGTTTTCAGGTCGTAATATTGTTTTTTCTCAATGCATCGATAATCTAGAAGTATCTTAATACAATAGATTGATGCTCAAGCTATAATTTTTTGTCTTGGTTACAGAATGTGTCGTAGAATTTTTGTGTTTTTTATTTAAAAAAAAAAACGTCCTTAATCAATTGGGGAATAAAAAGAATTCCTTTGGATTTTCTCCAATATGTTACTTTGTCATGTGACAAAAATGATTTTAAATGTCAAGGGCACGTGGTATTAGTAAATTCGAAAGCAAGTACGCTCGTTTAAATACAAGCGAGTAATTACCAGTAATATCACTGGAGTAAGCTTTGCCAGCGAGGCAATCGATATCTAGGGCAATCGCCATTTGCGAGTAAGCTATGTTGATCGGATATCCTGGATTCTGGTGCGTAGGTATGAACGGTATTCGATGCGTGGCCATTCCTTGGTTTACCAGTAAAAAGTTGGAGTCGTGCTTCCGTCGGGACTCACAATTCACACCGTCGCCGGTGTAACCCTCGTTGCAGACACAGGCAAATTGATTTTCACCGGCCGACACGCACGTCGCGTCCGAAGAGCAGAGACGCGGATCGTGTCTGCACGAGGAATGCGGAAGGCACGTGAAGCCGTCGCCGTAGTAACCCTAAAGGCGACAGGATTACGGTCACTCGTATATTTACACTCTAGTCACGTAAGAGTTATTGCGAGATTCTTCATGGCTCAGAACAAGTATTTTCATTTTATTTTCATTTTCTTATAAAATTTTCGAGAATAAACTAATTTTTTTCCGCTGAGTGAATATCTAAACGACACAATTATCATGACTTTGTCAATTTTTAAATCAGCGTATAACGTGTACACAGTGTACTCAGATGCGGCATAATGTACTACATATGAATGCACAGGATATACGTGACAACAGATTCGGTTATACTATGAGGATGTAATACTCGCTTGTACGCACCGGCTGGCAAATACACGCGAAATTCGCGGACGTCTGATTGTATCCGCAGACTGCATTTCGGCCGCAGTTATTCAAAACATTACAGCCGATGTGATCCTCCACACACTGATGTATACCGTCGCCGTGATAGCCGCTTATGCAGACGCATTTGTAGCCACCGTCGCCACCGGTCGACACGCATTGCGCGTTCGTGTGGCATTGAGAAGGGTTCGTCGAGCAATCGGACAGCACACATCGATCGTCGACTATGCTGAATCCGGGATTGCACGTGCACTCGTAGCGTGAACTCATGGGGTGATAGGTGCACCGTTCGTTCTCCTCGCAGTCGGAGTTGTCGTTACATTCATCTAAAACGCAAAGAAGTCACGAGGGACTGTCAGCCTTGACGTTCCTGGAGCCGGAGTTCGCATTATTTGGACAGCGCGATATAAAAGAGAGCGTGCACGATTCTAATGTGATTTGAAATAATTACGAGCCGAACCGAGAACTTGAAGCCCACGATCGTAGTTTCCCGATTTATATGTTAATGTGGAATGCAAAGGAGGCAATATATATGCGCAATGGAGATCGCCGATCGAAAGAAAAAAATGGCATTGACATTCCGAAATGCATCGTGCGACGTATGCAATGGCACGAGAGAAACAAAAATTAAAAAAAAAAGTAAGGATAATAAAAGCACCAATAGGACTGCATGTCGTTCCGTCTCCTTCATAGCCTGGATTGCACACGCACTTTGCCAGCGGTTCCTCATGCTGGCAGGATGCGTTGGGATCGCAGATGTCCACTTCCAAGCAGGATACCTCTGTGCGAAGAAGAAGAAAAAATCGCACCGTTGTAATATCAATTAACGTACCTTTACATCCTTCTCGCGATTTAGACTTTTTCCTTAGAAAAATGAAATTATTGAACATTAAATGAAACGATCGAATCGAATGCATTGGAAAGCATAATTTACTTGGAGAAAGTATTTGATTTTCTATTTTTCTCGACAATTCATATAGTAAAAATGTGTAAAAATTGTATTTTTTCATATTTGAAAAATTTTATTTTACATTATTTATACATTTAACAATTTGACAATGACATATTGTCTCAAAGTGTTTAATATACACTCTCCGATACATCCTTACTGATTGCTAAATGCATATATTCACACGTACCTGTTTTGGTGCATTCCATACCGTCGCCCTCGTATCCCGGATTACAGTGGCATTCGTAATAGCTGGTACTCGATACGTAGATGCACTGGGCGTAGGGATGACACCTGTTCACCACGTTGCAAGATACTGGACACAAGCGTGTGTGCGATTATGATACATTGCACGGCAAGCGGCGACGATAGCTGGCTGTCCCGATAGCGAGACCGAAAAATTTAATGGAAATTCCGCGGTTTCATGAATCCGCGATAATGCTCAATGAAGAGTTATGAACTAATTATCGAACTCGTCTGTTAGTTGCGGAATACCCCGAAGACCCGTGATTTTGTCAAGAACCACATGGAACTACACGAACGTATATATTTATTTTTTATCTGTGCGAGGAATCGATATGAGCACAGTCTTGTGTGAGAAAAGTTTCGAGAGAAAATATTGTTAAGAAAATATAAAAGTTGATGCACTACTTTATCAGATTCATTGGAATATCGAAATCTATTTTGACGTACGGCAGCATCCGCGTATCGAACGAAAACACTTTCCGGACGAAATAAACATTCGCCTTGGAAATTAAATTATACATTCGTATTCGATCGCGTGTAGAAAGTAAAATGCGGGACGCAATAATTTTGCGTCGCTTGCAGTGCGAGTATTAAGGATCTTTAAACATTTAGCGAAATCGGAATATTCCAATCAGAGTTAAATACGATCTTGTAGAGTTCTTTCCGAAGGAAATTAGATGCACTATAGACACATTTCTCAATTTCCCGAGGTAATCTTCCGTCGCGCACTAAAAGGTTGCGCATCGTAAGTTTCTGGAAGTGAGTTTAAAGACTTGGAAGATGGCGAAACTTCGCGCACACTTATTTACAGGACAAACTTCTTTCTTACTCTCATTGCCTTCCTCCCAAAAAAAAAGCCGAGAAGTTCGCTCACGAATTCATGCGGTTCATATTGAGCTTTGTGGAAACAGCAATATTGTTAACATATGTTACATTGTTACATTGTTACATTTCGTTACATTCGCCGTAATTCTAGCTTTATCATGGAAATATTAGTTTTAATTTTATTTTGAATTGGCAAGCCCGCCAGCGTTTTTATTAATTACGCGATAAAGTAAGAGGTTACCTCCCTCTCTCTCTCCCTCATGATGATGAAATTAAAACAATCGTATGGAAATAAAAGCAGTATGAAGTCGCTAGCTCGTTAAACAGGAAGACACGCAAAGCAGCTTTACGTTCATTAATGAACATAAATAGCTTAAAGCCAAGCAGTCAGAGTGCGTCATACAGTTAGATCCTGATGGACCCATCGTATCGTGGTGGTATCCTGGCAGCGAAACGCAAATTCGTTCCAAATGGTCGTAATCGTATCCCAAAGGACATATGCAGACGTCGTCGAAGCATCCCGGGAGTGGACGTGCCGATACTAAAACGCATGATGCATCGACGAACGATGTTCGTCGCGTACTGTTAACGTATCGTAATTTCGATCGTTATTAAATACTGATTATCTTCGTATCGCTCGGATTGAAATTATTCATGTTAATGAATTTACATGCAATTATCCGCAAAATTTATTTACCGAGTAAACTATTGTAATTATTAGCTAAATATTTTAGTTTCCACTTCTAATTGAATGATTACTTCTCTATGCAATGCATGCCACAGACACAATGTATAGCATGCTATAACGTACATTCGAACAAATGTTCTTCCCGTTAAGGAAGTAATTGCATTAATCTTATTCAGGCTCAAAGCTTTCGCGTTTCGCAAAAGTTGCACGAGGGATCATTGTATCGTTTAAGCCGATTTATAGGATTGCAAGATTTTTTTCGTGCAACTTACAGTCTCGATTATAGTCAACTGTCGTGTATTCTCCCTCTTGCTTCACGCAGACGTGATTACGATATTCCCAACCACCGGGACACCAACACACTCCAATCAGGCACTGTGGTTGCGGTGGTCCGTCTGTTGTGGTGGCATCGGACTCAGAATAACACGTGTACCCATCGCCTGTAAATAATCGCATATGTGCATAACGGCGATTTTATGAATTGTAATGCGGTTGCATGTACGCTTAAAGCGATAAATCATTCATCGCTGTATCAAGCGGCAGATTTAATTGCTCCATTTCTAGACTGTTTTGAAATCTTATATTAAAAATGCATACCGTGTTATGAAAAAAAGTTATCAAATTTATATGAAAGATATCAGCGCGCAATTAAAATTACAACAGATTGAAGATAAGATCTGTCAAATATCATACTTATTTCTCGAATCTACTGCAGATAAGGAGCTTGCGATAAGTAAAATGTTACTTTTAAATGTGAAAGATTTACACTCACACAAATTTGCAATTATTCGCTCATGTATATTCCGGGAGTTTTATATATATATATATTCGAAATTTTTTTCCTCGTAAATTATCAACAGCAAGCAAGAAAGTCTTCTTGCGTGTTACTCACCGACGTAACCGGGCATACAAGTACACACGTGCTTCTTTCTGTTACCGTCGAAACTGCACAGTCCGTACGGCGAACAGTTATCCTCTTCGTTGCAGGATACTGTGAAAGAATAGTTGTCGCTTTTATCAGCAAAAACGTTACGATTGAGCAATCTTTTATCTGAATCCACATTGAAAATATTTTTACCATGCTGAGCGGGGTAACAGCCCTGCTCTGTATCCTCGAAGCCAGGCAAGCAAATACACCTGGGTGCTCCTCCAATCATTGCACACTGCTCGTAATCTCCGCAGCGAGTGTCCTCGCAAGACGGCAATCCTGCATTAAATTCGACGTTAAATACCGTTGATAAATAATTGACAATAAAATTGGAATAGATTTAATTGAATTATTAATTGCAATAAAATGTTTAATATTTAATATGTGAATTTTTTTATACTTGATACCAAAATATATTTCTTAATTATCTTTACAACTGGAGATAATTTAGAAACGTAATTTGATCGAGTATATTATCAGATGTTAAGATTATTTCCAATGCTATCAGCAGTGAGAACTTGATCGACTTCGTGAAGCGTTATCACAGCATGGTAATATTACAATTCTGAGATTCAATAATTTATTGCAAAATAAATGTAAATATACTTACTTTCACAAACTCGGCCGTCACCCGTAAAGCCAGGTCTGCATTGACACGTATGACCGCCTTCTTGATTAATGCATTGAGCGTCCGGAGAACACATGTGGTTACCAGCCGTGCATTCATTCACGTCCACGCATATCGCGCTGCCGTCCTCTTCGTACAGATACTGATACCTTTACACACATCGAGCAATATAATAGAGTTTCATTAATATTTATTAAAGATTCATAATTTGACGCCACGATTAAAACAATATATTTCTTAAAACTTTTGCAAAAAGTGATTTCCTCTCGAATTTCTAATTATTTCTGCAAATCAATTTTATAATGAAAATAAAAATCGATAGATATACCCTGCGTTGCACACGCATCTGAAGCTATCCCCGTCGACCACGCAGGAGCTATGATCACTGCAAGTCTGTCGTCCTTGGATACAGGGATCCTCCTCCTCGAGGGGCGTTATCTTGGTGTTGACGGCAAACCGAATGATGCCCTCGGTAGCCTCGTAGGCCGTGACACCCCTGAAAAACTTTAGCCTGGTCGTGTCGTCATCGGGATCAAAGATTGCGTACGGGCACTCCTGATAACTAATTATCTGATCCAACGTAAAGGTGATCTCTCGCTCGTCGCCGCCGTTTCGCAGGAGTTTGCAGGTGCGCTCGCTCTGGGAACGGAGCATTCCTGGCTGGGCGCGAGTGTAGAGCTCATCGTAATCACCATAGTCCACCTTGGTGTCCCTTTCAAGGTGTGGCACTGTACCTTTGATATCCGCTTCCATCTTTAGCTGACCGAAGACATCCAATCCGAGATAATTGCTATGTATTGTCACTTTGTCGCCGGTCGATGGGAAGGACAGTTCCGCCGTGTGATTGAATAAGCCTCCTGTTTGTGAAACGCACTAGTGTAAACGTCTATATGTAATCATAAATGCTATCTTTCAGCGAATTCCCACGATAATCGGAATCCCTTCATTAGTCAAATATCAAGATAATTATGTCTTTTTTTAAGTTTTGAATTTAAAAAATATAATCGACTATAATTTTTAGAAAAATTTCGTGTAAAGTTGTTTATTCGCATCGTTCACATATTATATTTAAATAATATTAATTATTATAGTAAAAAACGAATTTTTAAAATACTTTATTTTTTTATAAAACTATTTCTCTGGAAGTATGAAAAAAGATGTACAAGGTAGAGTGCGCTGAAACGCGTTAAGATGTTACGTCTGGTAGGCAGAATCTACCGACCATTCTGTAGCGCGTATAAATATAACATAAGCTTCTTACCCGAAAGCTCATATCCGTTTTCGGTATCGCTAACAGGTTTCGCGAACAGCCAGCCGATTACGCTGCCCAAATTGCCCAAAAGTTGGAAACTGGCGCCGATTTCTTGGGGCACTCTTGATAAGGCTGTGTATGTTCGACCATCTCTGGTCTGTACATAACACTGAAGGTCTCTCGAAGGAAATTCGACGCCGTTAAGTGTGCCGGAAATTCGGCCAATAACACGAAGGGGAACATCTGAAAGTTAGAAAAAGCATCATAGTATCTTTATGTCTCTAATTGTTTTTCATCTTTAATAAGCTGCTATTATTACTTTATTTATTTACGTTTTATTTATTTTTCCACGTGAAACGTATTTTTCTTGTAGCGGTACAATGCTACCTCCATTTTTCTACAGATTCGGTTACAACAGAATAGCATTGAGAGGGATGTAATTCCGGTCTTTTATATTTCTTCAGAAAACAATTTTTTTTTTTTATGGAAATGGAATTATTGGGAGCACCGTTGCACGCGCGTGCGACGCAATCATCAAAGAGCTTCGTGGCCCATTGCAGGGTATTCATATTGCCATCTTTACGATGTTACCGTGGAAGTCGTAAAAATCAGTCTCGTAAACTATGAATAGATCAGAGAGCACGCAGCAAACACAGCTACTCACTGCGCTGCATTTATTTGTCCTGACTTCTGCGCACCTTTGTCCGCGTTAGACAGAGCGTCATAGAGAGTTCAGAGGGGAGCGCGCTAAAAGATCCCTTCTTTATTCCGTTTCGAGAACACTTCAAAGGCCGCGTTTGCATGCCATTAGCTCGAGTTTATCTCGCAACGAGCGCGCGAGTTTTCGACAATCGCTGCTGATAAATAGCTCACCGTTTGGCTGGCAGGATTTCCCATTGCCGAAATAGCCCTGCTTGCAGTTGCAGCAGAATCCGATCTCGTAATCGGTGCAAGTTGCTTTGCTGTGACAAGTGGTGGCGCCGGTCCTGCAGCTGACCGCTTGATGCACAGTCATGGTGTCTACAAGTGTTATTCGTTAATACGATTAGCATCATGTACGGTTTTGCAACATTTGAAATTTATCGTCCCAGTTCACAAGTTATATTTATAAAAACGTAAAAGCTCAAATAATTATTTTACATTTTTACTATTTCAACACATTGATATTGAAGAAGAAAGTGTCACTTTAGTAAATGATTTTAAACTCGTTACCATTGATATTATCGGCAGTCTTTACGTTTTCGCCTTCATCGACGGGGCCGACTTGAAACAGCCACTGGCCAGGCCTATTTACATTCGACCACCTGAAAACAATTACAAAGGCGACCATGAATACGTCGCGCGTGAATAGAGCAGGCACCTACGCGCTCCCCATTACTCACTTGTCGACATTCTGAATTTGGTCCGTGCCCGAGCCCCTCAGGGTATACATTTTGCCCTCGCTCATGAATCCTGCCTGCGCCTTGGCATCTGGGAGTCCGCTGGGATGCGATTCACCCTGAATCCACTGTATACCATTTTCCGGGTACAGCAGCTCGACAAAGGAATGCGTACCGTTGGATGATATAGCGACTTGATAAGTATTCACCTAAAAGACAACTCCATGAATACTTATTCGTGTTCTTGGAAAAGTCTTTATTACACATATATATTCTCTTCTTAATTTTCTGCGATAAAAAGATATTTAATTTCAAATGCGTTTTCGAATGCGTTTGAACTAATAGACTAATTTTATTTTAGCGAGAAAATGCGACATTCAATAATCACAGAGACAATAACTTGCCTTATCGTTTCGCTCGTTATAATAACCAACATCCACCCAGGTAGCCAGGAAGACGTGTGTAGGTACGAAGTCGATGGCATCCTTGAAGGCGCTTCGAACCAATCCTCCGGTTCTAGCGAGAATCTCGGGTGAATCGGTTTCGCTCCAATAAACCGTTCCTGAGCCCCTCGTATCGACGTGCGTATAAAGAGGCGAGATGACGGGATCGTCAAGAGGGAACGCGATGTTAAAGAACCTTTGCATAGCCCTGGCGAATGAGAGAACGCCATTTCCATTTACCTGAAATCGAAGAAAACCGATTTTCTAGTTTTCGACGTTCGTTAGCCGACGCGAGCTGTGACTGCGCTCGATTTCAATTTCGCGTTTAATGAGAACTCCGAAATATTGGAAAATTAGATCATTCGCGGAAATCTTCAAAGGTTTCATATACTGACGATAAACACAGTGGAATCCTCAAATTACATTTGTAATGATTGTTTAAGACCCTGAGAATCCCATTGGGATGAGAGCGAGAATTAATTCGATAGCATTTAATTATAACTTTGCAAACATATATTTAAAGCGCTTGTTAAACTTCAACATGCATTATCCGTTGTATCATTACTAGGCAGTCTAACAAACGTCCGTTGGTTTTATCAACGCTTTAGCATTACGACTTCAATTAACTAATTAATACTACGGCACTCGTGCTATTTTAATATTTTTGTTCGTCGTTTGAAAGCATTGTTCAATATCGCTTTAAAGCATTGTTCAATATCGCTTTAAAGCATTGTCTAAAAGCACGGCTCTTACAACGCGAATTTCGATCAGAGTGCACCGTTAACTCTTTTATCAATGCTTTCGCACCGCGACTGTAATTAACTAATTGATACTACGGCATTCGCGCTATTTTAATATTTTTGTTTGTCGTTTTAAAGCATTGTTCAATACCGCTTTAAAGTATCGACCAAAAATACGGTTCGCTACGACTCTTTCACAACACGAATCTCGATTACGGAGTGCATCGACCTGGCCGCACAATAGCACTACCGCGTTAACTCCGACGCTGAGAGTCGCACTCGCGTGCAGCCGGCACGCGACAGTAAATCAGATCCCATCCAGTGATGCGCACATGGTGGAAGGTCGACCGGCGTCAGCGGGTCAGCAGGTAAATCGTCGGCACGTGCTACCAGCGAAATCCGATGATGACGCAATTAGGAGGGGGAACCTGACGTCGGTCGCCGCGAGTAGCGCGATGCACGCACGTACGTTAATGAGCGAGCGCCTGTCGTCGAGGAGTCATTCACCCAACCACACGCGCTCGTTACGACGCCGGCGGGAAAACGGCGGCATCGTACTCGCAAAATCTCGCGAAGAAATCGGAGAAGAGCGGCCACTGAGAGAGACGAAATACGTCTACTATATGTCTGCACATTAATGACTCTAATTAGTCTGCTCTTTAAAGCGACATGGATAATAATTCTAAGTTGTTGAAAGAAAGTTCCGTATATGCGATGTTTTGAAGACTTAAATCGCATTCACTTTTTTAATTACATATATGAAAATATTTAAATATAATTTACATACATATATTGCTCGTAAAATATCTTTTTCTCAATTTTTTTATATATTACAACACTTTTTTTATCTTCGAGGAAAGAAATAATCGTACAAGTAGCGAAAAAGTGAAATTCTAATTATTCCTCATTATTCTTTGGCATCCTTCATCTCGAAACGAAAGGAAACAACCGACGCGGCCGTGTGATCCTTGCCGGGGCCGCTAACTCGTTTCGTCAATTGGCTAAAATGAAATGCGCTAAACGCGCGACTCTTGCTCCACATTCGACACGATGCACTCTTCGTGCAGTGTGTCGGAGCGCAGCTGTTTCTTCGTAAGAAAAAACTCGTCATTAAGGAGACAAAATTAAAACTCCCCGAAAGAGCGGTGTAACCGCTTGAAATATTGCGCTGGGAGGAGATGATTGGCGTGGTTCTCACACTGCATACTCTTAGCATCTCAATATTACTTAACTTTAAAATGTAGAAAGTGAACTCAATATTATGCTACTATTATGTTCTATTGTCTTCTAATTTTATTCTTAATGAATTAAATTGATGAATTAAAATGAAAGACTTACGTTCTAATTACATGTATTAATTTTTTGAGGGTATATTATTCAGTAAAAAGAAAATAAGTATAAATTTATAAATAATAAGATATGTTTTCAAAACGGCGTTTGTAAAGCAACAATGCTTTATTATAATTTTTGTAATGTTTACCCGGTTTAGATATATATATTTTGTTCCCACGCTCGGATTTGTAGATGTTAATTCTTATGCGCCACTCAAAGTCCAAGCTGGAGCGTCCGATTATTCAAATGACCCATATTGTTTTCACGCGAGGTTAATATCACGGGCGCCGCATTGAATTTAACGCTCAAGTCGCACATCGTTGACGAGCGACCCGGTTCAAGCGAATTGACACGAATTAGGGCGACAAAGTAATAATTCCTATTGCGACGCTATCCTGGCATTAGACTTGTTTCATGATTTTGTTGAATCGCAAGGTGCTTATTTATTTTTTGTTGAATGAATTCCTCGACTATAGATATATATAGAATTCCAGTCCAAGAATATTTGGACAAGTATAGGATGAATTAAATTTTATTCGTCCCTGCTAAGAAAAATTCGAACGTTACAATGATATATATAATATTAATATACTATATACACATATACACATGTGTATTTTATACACGTTGAATATATATTTTTAAATATATTTGGCAAGCATTATTTCTTAAGTGACAAATTTATTAAGGAGCTTTTTAATTTAAGTATTTATATAATTAGCGAAATATCATGCTTGTTTTCGAACCCAGCAATTATCTCAAAGAAGCAGAAACCCTCCAATTTTTTATATTCAATATTATATATATGTGTGTACATACGTACTTCATAGACTGATAATTAATATTGGTTATCGAAGTCTTCGATAATCGATGCCTAGGAACGTGAAGCCAGTATTGATAGTCTCGCCGAAGCTCGTCTATGCGCTCGGACGTTTTGACATTCGCGTAAGTCAGCTAGTGGGAGAGTTCGGCATGCTATCATTGTCGAGGCTATCGCTGTGGTCATAGGTCAGAGCAGAACCGATGACACATACGCGCACACATGTTATCGCGAGAATGGAGTGGTGAGAATGGAGTGAAAACGATGAAAATAGATAGCACCGGCTGGAAGTAATAGAAGGCTGGTTGCCGACTCTCTTCCTGATATCGTCGATAGTTCTGATGCTTGGCAAGTCAAGTGCGGCAACGGAAATAATTTGAAATCGCTTCTCACATCAACGAATATTCCAATATTAAAGGCGGAACTTTTAACAAAAATTACTCGATCTTTCTTTGTTTTTTTTATTAGAATTGTCTCGCGCTCGATTCTGAGATGTGTTGTGCGTATTTATAAAGTATTAATATTTTTACTATTTATAACAAGAATAAATCGCTGCGCAATAAATTTTCATGGTGCGATGTCAATGATGCATAAACGCTGTTGCGTTCGTATGCACGAATGCTTTATTCGGGACGAATGCATCGAATTCGTATGCTAATACCGGAATCCGCAGTAACTTCGGTGCATGTGTAATCGTCATAACATGATAGCAGCCGCGAGTCAACGATGACGGCAGGAGATACGACGATTTCGGTAACGCATGCCGCACGCGCTAACGCAATCGCGCAATCGGCTGCAATCATTTTGATGACTGCGAATCGTCGACGATAACCGACGAAATGGAGATGATTGTCGCGTAGGCAGGTCCTTTAAGTAGACTGTCTTTGTTCGCGGATGCGTCGAGATATACATCTGTGTCAGTGGCGATTTGTCACTGACCTGTGGGCCCGCATAATGATGATTACAATCGTGATACAAGGGTCCGCCGAGCAAGCACTTGTTCATTGAAACATCGGAACTAATCTTTTCAAGTCGCATAATGCGCACGTTTTCTTACGCAGTTGTGAACCTTGGTACTTTAAACAACTTTATTTACTAAATTTTTAAACAATTTTTAGCTTACTGTTAATATCTTCAAAACTATACTTTGTAAACTTACAGTTGGCAAAAATAATTTAAAAGAAAAATTATTTTTTACTTTAATTTACCGAAAAAACATTGAGTTTGACACTAAAAGATTAGTGTAATTAATTATTGATTATTATTTGTTTATGACATGTTGTTTTTCAGACTAAAATCACTAAAAATTTCGAACTTCCTAAATTCCTACGCAATTTCTCTCGTAATGCACAAGATCAGTTTTAATTATTTTGTTGCTATTCATCTTTAGGTTCGCGTGCAATAGTCATCGCATGCTTGAATTCTATTTGACCAATTTTACATAATGCGTTCACTTTCTTCGGCATTTCTAGCAAATTGTACGCCTACGATAATGTCTCTCTGCCTACAAAACATAGCGTGCTGAATCGCGGAAGACAAACTAAAATGCATTTGTAAGAAGAAGAACGTAATAATAATACTCTGAAATCGCAAATGCTGAATTTTCAATTATTTTGGATAATTTCAAGATTATGAGATGTAAACCAAATTCAGTTTTAGAAGAACTCGCAAAGAAACGGAAGTGGCGTTAATACAATTAATTAAAAATTTTGTCGAGCCTAATTGAGTTTTACGGGCGATGACGAAGCCAACGACAGAACCGATCTGGAAGAATTGCGAGCGGAATTTCGCAATTCCTCCCACTAACTCCCCGCTAACTAATGTGAGAAAAAGCCAAGGCTAATTGCACCGCGGTTGCTAGACTAGCTGTCGTATTACTGTCTATCTTGATGCGAGGGCTTGATTGAGTACAGGAAAAGACACAAAGTCTTCCGTTGAATTCTTCGTATAAACTTAATACGCAAAGAGAAGAATGCCGTAAAATCTATTTTCTGCATGATGTTTTTACAAAGAAAGAATGTTAGAATTACGATATTTTTACGAACCGCGTGCTTTTACAGCGCTTTCTTGTAAGAACGCAGGTGTTGGAAACGCATCGGCAGGATTTTTCCTCGTGCGATTTAATTAATGTGAATAATTATCAAGATTAATAATGGATACGCATCTATGTGCGATCTCACGTGATTTTAATATAATTATTTTATTCAACGTTGCCACGCGCTAAATGCGCACATGCATTTATTTGCGCTATTAAAACAGTAGTGTGGTCAAAATTTTTAAATTTGTTTCTTATTTTTATCAATACGAAATAATTTATCAAAAATGAGGATCGTAACTACGCAATGCCATACTACGCGCTTGGTGTACGCGTGTTACATCAACATAGGAGGATATGATCACGATGCACATACATATTATCCCAATACCTGCAAAATCGAATTTCCCATTCTAGGCTCTTAATCCGCCTAGTCTCTCACAATTATCCATCATTATACTTTGCACCCGTCCGGCTGGCCGGCCGAGTTTCTGCGTGTGATTTGACTCGACGCGCCTCCCTAAGCGAAGCGCACGTACGCACGTCATCAATAATGCGACGATGATTCGTGCGGACGTTTGAATTATTGACGGGCCTCGATGAATGGAACGGATCATGGTTATAACACCGTGCTTTGGTGACGTCGATTGCAAAAGTTACATCAATCCGAAAATGAATTTTGGTATTGCTACCTGGCACTGCTATCCTATCGTGTACAGCCTCGTTTAAATATGCAAAATATCGTTAATAAATTGCAATAAAACACATCTGTATAATGTAACTCAAAAAATCAGTTTTTCATATATTTTAATGGTAGATAGATAATTGTTTTTTAGTATTATATAATTGTTTGATTTTTTATAATATATATATTTATAATATATATATATAATATATATATTTTTATAATGTATTATATGTATAATATGTAATGTACAATGTGTATGTATTTATATATTGCATAATATGTATGTATCTATATATTTTTTAAATAGTATCCTTCAATATGTAAATTGCTGATTAGATTCATCACAGTTTATTAATGATACTCCACGCCAAGGCTACAGTTTGAATAAAGAAAATTAAAACTATTTGAGAAAATGTTGATGACTTGGGTTTGTTCCTTGTGGAGGCGTAATACTTCCATGCGTGAGCTCATGCACCTTGATAAATTGCTCCGGCACGATGAATACTTTGTGTTAATCTGCGGCGCATAATTAATGCCGTTTTCAACCTATGCATCATTTCATTCATGCCGCCGCCTCCGCGGTAGTACGAACTGTTCACGGAAAAGTGAGATCACGCGACGTGTCCTGCCGGACTTTTCTAATCGGCAGTTTCCACATTGTTCTAATCGTTGCGCCGGTGTTTACTCGATGACTCAAATGCGCATCAAGATCTAAGTATCTTTTCCGGCTGACAAGCAAACGGCCGGAACTGTCTTTATGTTTTAGATGGCCTTCGGATATATTGTGAAATAGCTCAAAATAAGAGAGATGTCTTAATGAATGTTTATAACAAGCAAACACGTTCTGAAATCTACTTCCACATGTTTGCTTGTGAATATTTTCACAACCATAAGATACACATAAGAGCAGTTTTTTAAATAGCGATCTGAAGATCATGAAATGTCATAACATTTTTTTTCTTACACAGCTTATGATTTTAGCGATATTTTTTTCAAAATCTTTCTTCTTTCTTGTCTCTCAATGTACGAAGTTAAACTTTGAGAGACTATTAATCTTTAAATCTTGAGTAATACTTTTAAGTTAAAAACTGTGTATCTTTTATTTTGAGTGCCGTTGCAATACATCCGTAGCTGATTAAAGTTATAGAGCAGTTATGATTGTTGCGACGGTTCTCTTGTATTCTCTTGGGTGCAGCGCGCATTTCCTCGAGGCGCGCTTTCGCTTACGGCCGAACTTTCGGCGCGTAAACACTTCCGGAATCTTATCGCGCTTTCGACTTGGCTCGTCCGGATACGTGTTGCACAGTCTTCCGGTTCGCGCCGCTCTTGCTCTCGTTCATTCATACGAATTAACGGGCCCTCGTAAATTGTACGCGACGAGCGGCGCGTCCGCTGCAATTAAGTGCGATTGTGCCGCCCAGAGAGTCATTCGTTCGTCATCGCGAGCGCAATGAATTCGTGTCATGCCAGAAGATGTCGGCCGGATTAGGCCACGAGCCGAATTGAGAGAATGACCGAAAGCGCGCGCGGCTTCGTCGTTGTCTATCGCGCGACAAATTGATATTAACGGAGGAATTACGCGCCGACGCCCAGCAGCCGCTCGTCTCGCCGTCTCGAAACTTTTTCTAGACCGGGTCGTAAATTGAGGTTCATCACGCGGAGAATGCGCTAAGTTTCCTAATCTCCAAAATGTCCAGAGAGATATCGTAATTTGTTCTATGATCGTGCGATAAGCTAGGTAGGTAATATCGCGAGATGTATTACTGTTCTTGTCAATGAATTTGATGAGTTCAAGACAAGTCTTTTCTCGGCGCCAGTTTGATAAAACTTTTTATTGTCAAAAATTAAAAAGTATAAATAAATTATAAACAGACGACAAAATCTTGGTTATTCCTCAATTTCAACTTTAGTTTGATAGAATTCAAAGCTGTAATTTATAATGTTAAATATTATAAAATTTTAACGAATAATTTTATATGCAATTTTTTATTATTTTTACTAATTAGTGCTTAATTTTCTGTTTTAGGAATAACGTTTGCTTGGAGAAATTATTAAGAACATCAGTTAACATAAGGTAAGAATAGCATATAAAATGCAATTTGTGATGTTGAGAAGACGAGTTGTTTTTCTTGATATCGTATCATAGTTATAGAAATTTCTTGGTCATTGCAAAAATATGATCGCAATTTTTGGATTATTAATGGGTTATCAAGAATATCCATATTTTTCTGTCGATGTTTTCACGCGATGATCGGCAAGGGTAAATATAAAAGCAGCAGATTCAGCAGATTCATCTAATAATAACTTTACGACGCACTCGCGTATTCGCAGATACAAATAGCAAAATTTATCTGAATGCTGCAGATTTATAATGCTTTAAGAATACTTTTATCGTCATTTCTCTGTAGCTTACTGTTTTTAAAAAAAATTATTTTATTAATAAGACAAAGTATGAGATTGTAATATCATAACGCAGTTATTAAATTAAGAACAATGTTTGTATGTTCTAATTATAGTAATCTAAGTATAGATTATAATAATCATGAGAAAAAACTTAAATTCTTAGATTTCACGCTTGGTCGTGAAACGAATTGTATTTCATACCATAAGCAATATCTTATTATTTTACGTAATTGCAATACATTTAAATCATTTATGAAACAATGTGAAGAAAGCTATTCACATACTTTGATTAAAATTAATTATACATATATGATAGTGTCGATTACACTTATAATCGTTCTATGATCTCGTTATTTCTCTCAAATATACGCTGGAATTAAAAAATGCGATGCTGATACCGGTGCATTTCATTATTAACCATCGAATGATAGTTTAGAGGAAAACAGCTTTTCACCTTCTCTCTTTCTCTCTCAAAAGAAGACAAAAATATGTATTTTTAAAAGACGAATAGGTTTTTCTCTTATAATGCACATTAATAATATCAATCAAAAGTTTACATAAATAGCCTTCCTAAAAAACGTACTTTACGGTTTAAATAATTATTTTAATATCAATGAATATTTGATATTGACGAAGATCGAGTATTCGGAATATTGCTCGACATTTCGGAGCAGAGTTGCGATCGGTACTCACGAATATCGAGTTGTAGATCTTGTCATAGAAGACGATGGGTGTTTTTAGGATCGCTTCGGCGGATGTCAGCATCCCGTTCTGGTCGGTCTCGAGGACGGACGCACCCGGTCCCGTGTACTGGTACAAGTCGTTTTTGGTCAGGGCCGCGGTGAAGGGCGCGATTAGGACCAGCACGAGGGCCAGCGGGCCCAGCAGGGCGCTGCAACGTGCTGCGCCGCGAGCCATTCTCTCAGACTGCCTTAACGCTACTGCTGTTCGACTTGGCTACGATGTCTCTTCTTGCCGCCCCCTAATCGCTTTTGCCCGCCGCTGCTCCGCGACCGGCGCGACCGTCCGTCGTTGTTCCGAACATATATGAAACTTCGCTTTCCGCACTCGCTGATACATAATTTCGTGACATCGCTTTGATCCCCAGCCCTGACTCCGCCGCCAATAGGCTAACGTGCAATCGAGTGTGTGTCTCTCGAACGTAACTCTTCAACTTCTCTCCTCCTTGCTCTCTCTCTCTTTCTCATTCCCCGTCTACAAATCGCTCGTGCCACGCGATGACTACTCGACGCAGTAATCCCTGCTCTGTTCATAAAGATACATGAGCAAATTGATAAATTTGTTAATTTTTTATACACTAATATACCGAATATATAATTTATTTTATATTGATGAAGGTTATATTTAATTACGCTGAATAAATAATATTTGTGCAATTACGAAATTTTTGCGAAATTCCACATAGGCGGGGTTGTTACGTGAATATCGCGTTGCGTGATCATGCACATTGTAGCTTATTATTTAAATATACACATTTCAATTCCGATTAACATTTGTTGCCCGGTGAAGTACCATAGAGAGCAGCTGCGTTTTATTTATACATTTAATTCTTTATTAATTGTTTTCATATTTTAACGATTCATACATGCAGAAATATTCACAAAATTATGCGAGATATTTTTGTCCTTACATTTCTACGCGGATGCGCGTGTAAAAATATAAAATCCAAATATTTGCAATATTTAAATCATAACAATAGTTCGTGATAAACAGATGATTTTACCAATAGATTCGTAAATTACATGATACGTGTGCGCGATCAAATTGCACATATTTTGCGCGCGTGGCAAGTATATAGGTATCATTCGCGTATTATTGCAGTGCGCTTATGGCGCATATTCTCTTCGCACGTAGAATCGTCATTGATTCAATTGTATCTTCGAACGATTCATTCAAATGCCAAGGTCCCGCGATTACGCGATACATATTGTAATCAGCGCGTGGATTTTAAAGATTTAATTGCGACCATAATCATATTTTACCAGTGACTGGCATAATTGAGCTGCAAGGTTACGCATCCCGCAGTTAAATTGACTGACATTACGGACGCAGTGATTTTCGAGCATTGCTTTGCATTTCAATTATATCGCGTGCTGTTGCACCTCAATCGATAGATTTCATGAATCATTTTTTCTTCTCTAATTAATATCTCTGATCGATATTCTGATCTTAATTGAATCACTATAGAAATATTTAGTTTAAGAGTCCTTTTTTATATTCGCATCGTATAAAACTGCAAAAATATAACGAGAAGTAAAATTTATTTTAAATTGACATTTAAAAATCGCATCAAATTCTAATAGCGCTCCGCGTTTTTCATATATATTGCGCGATTACGCTCGCATGTCCGTCATGCAATTTCTCCGAGATGATATGTGATTCATCTTAAATTGTGCCCGTTCTTACGACGCGCATAACTTCGCGTGCAGCTTCGCGTTGTGAAACAAAGTATCAACGTCGACAGACAAACGGAGGTGGACCTACATTCGCATATGCCGCTTAGAATTGCGTCGCGGCCTAGAGCGTCCCAATAAATTGTCTTAAGAATTCGTCAGGGTCGCTCTTCTTCCAGCACTTGTTCAGTAGACGATACGCGAGTCGTTTATTTTAAAACTGGTATAATCCACTTTGAAAAAGAACGAATTTGAGATGCCTGGCGTAAAAAGATACGTATTTTTTTTTTTTGTAGTACTTTCCTGCAGTTGAATTAAGAAGACAATTAGTTGCATATTTTATGAAATATGTAGTTTTGATGGCGACTAAAATTTATGACAGGACAATTGGGCTAAAAAGTGATTAATGATTCACGTTGTAAATTGATCTTTATTACAAGAAATTACATGACTAATTTGTACATATAAAATATAAATATGATACAAGTACTATGATACAGAGACGCGTGTTTTCCAATGGAAAGTGGAAGTAGGTCGCTAGTTACAATTAATAATTACTATCACTATAATTCGTTATTATTACTGTTGTATTCCCGGTAGACGGACTGACACGCTCTTGGCAATGCTTTTAACTTAAGTTGAAAATTCGGACACGCGACGATAGATAAATAAAACATCACATGCATGAATTTTTAACATTTTACACGATAAAATATAATAATTTGCTCTCCGGATATAATTCTCGTTCGGAAGACCGGCGAACGAAATGCTACGTCTTCAATCATAATAACTATCATAACCGATCGACAGTTCGAGTAATCGATTAGCACGAAAAATCGTCAATTGTAATCCTCTCGCGATCCGTTCAACAATATATCGGACATTCATTCCCAACAGAAGGAAGGTAGGACAAAGCAATGACGACGGCTCGGCGGCGAACTCACGTTTTTGGTCGTAGATGAGTGAGACACGGAGAAATGAGCGTACAAGATCTCTTTTTTTTTTTAATTTAGCGCGGGACGACACGAAGGAGTCACTTGATTACTTTCCACCCGCGGACGGCGAGTCTACCGATCGGCAATCCATCGCACATTCCGCGAGCCTGTGAAAATGACGTTCGCGCGCATGGAACCGCATTTACATTTCGTGCTTAGCGCTAAATGCGGCTATATAAGTTTTCAGTCTGTAATAACACGGAGTGCAATCTTTACTCGCGAAATTGTATTAGTCAATAAAAGGCTGGTATTAGGCGCCTGCATTTAGCGCTAAATGCGGGATGTAATTGCCGGCCGGTGTGTTTATATATATATGACGATCGGTCGCGTGTTCGCGTGTTACTCACGTCGGTAACGCTTGCATTGTGTGTGTGTGTGTGTGTGTGTGTGTGCGCTTATATATTTCATATACATGTACGTGTATATCATGCATAAACGAACTTCAAGGTACAACAGTTCGGGACGAGAAAAAATGGGTGGTTTTCCATATCGATATTGGCCGTCGGTCCACCACGACTCGCGTCAGAAAACTAGAATACTTCTATTTCTGCCTTGCATTACTCCTATACCGATTTATTTTCATCACATCTATTTTTATTCTCCCCGACCTCATCCCCGCTTCTGCGCTTATGTCCTATCCGCGTCCTCTCTTCGCGTAACATTCTCACGTCGGAAACCAGAGTCGTTTCTCTCCCGCATCTCTCCTTTCTCTTCGTCGAGTTTCAATAGCACACACTCGCACGAACCGAGAGCCTCTTACGATTAGCAAAAGTTTACGATTTATAGTTACTCCCATTTCTCTTATCTTCCACGCGCGTTCTCCCTCTCCTTCTTTTCCTCATTCACTCTGTCTCTTTCTTTCCATTTCTTTCTTTCTTTCGCACTCTCTCTTCTTTCTCTCTTTCTCTCTCTCTCTCTCTCTCTCTCTCTCTCTCTCTCTCTCTCTCTCTCTCTCTCTCTCTCTCTCTCTCTCTCTCTCTCTCTCTCTCTCTCGCGCGCCTTTCTAAGTGAGTTACAGAACCCTACGAAGTGCGGTAACTGCTGATAACGATTAAAGCTACGATAATACCATGAATTAACGTGCGTGCATTGGATACATTACGGCGCGTTTCGTTAATCGATTGATTGTTAATCGTATAAAAAGTTTCTTTGCACTCTTTTGGCAGTGCGTTGCTCGCTCGCTCGCTCGCGACAAACTTTCCGTTTGGCTTTTTCTAAAAACCGAAGCTCGAGTTTTTCATAAACAAATTTGCATCTACTTCTAATACTCTAACTTTCATCATTCAGAATCATTTCCATTGACAACCCAGATTAACTGACGCCGCTTAACGATTTCCTTTCCCTCCCTGAAGCGTAATCCTAGTGATAACGTAGATGGAGAAGGAAAAATTTAATCAATGGTGATTTATGCCACTCAAATAGCGTGGCCGACCTCAAGTATCGGTATTATACAATCGACAATGCTCGGATAATCGTAGTTGACTCGCAATCATTCACAATCGGCTTTCTCGATTTTCACTCGACTGTCTTTCAGTGCACGGTCGATTGCTATTTTTTTTTTTTTTCTATCGACTTACGTTACGAATATCGACGCGTGTCGTATTGTTTTCTTTTTCCCTAGATTGAGATGAATATCTTTAATCTATCGCGACGGTTTCATCTGCTTGTTTCACTCGTCGCTGTTCCCGATGAACACGCAGTTTGGCCGATTGGCCGGCAGTCTTTATGCTTGGAAATCTCCCTCTTATAGCTTACTAATGTCATCAGTCAGGCGATGGGAGCGCAGTAATGTCCTAAATGACTCTGATGAACAATAGATGTAAGAACGAAGCACCGATTCTCACGTTTTGAACCATTAATGTCAATATAAACGCAGCGCGAAATCATTGCGCTCGAAATCGAAGCTCGTGTCGCTGTGTAACAATCGCAGAAATTACCTAACACCTTCGACTTGTATCCTGAGAAACATCGTTGAAATTGAAGCAATCGCGAAATCTCTAACACGAATACATTTTTTCGGTATAACTCGATAATATAACTTCGATAAGACACATGCGTGTGCGTGTACGTGTGCGATACCTCGGTGAAACTTTTAGCTTTCTTCTTTTTTCAATATCTCGTTTAAATCTTGCTGGTATCGTTTTAGGCTTAACAATAGCGACGTACGATGATGGTGACGATACCATAATATATCATTAACAACTACTGGACGGAGTCGAGCGACATCGACGCCATTCTCTGCTAATTTTATTCCGTTCCGGCGACCTCGCTCGTCTCGTTTCAACGATTAAATTCGTAGGTGGGTGGGCGGGATTGATGAGAGAGATCAACACGCGGTCATGCGCGCTGATCTGAATCTATGTTAGGTGGTCTTAATCTCGGCCGATGTCGGTTGTTGGGGACAAGAGTCGAAGCAAGTGACAAGGAGAATGTGACTCTTACAGGCTTCCACTCTCTTCTGCAAGATGCATGTCTCGGCCGTCAGAGCCTCCAAAAACGCGGATCTCGCCAATCCATACTGTCCTCCACGTACACTGTTTCAAAAACAAACACACAACGAAACGTAATCATAAATACGTATTATTAATCAAATTTCGCTAATTTCGATGCGTAAAATTTGTTTACGTTTATAAAACTAGAATCGTTGTTAGAATCACGATTGTAAATGATAAAAATAACAGACGTCAATTACTGAATTAATTTATCTCCGCGTTGAAACATTTTAAATGTGAGGAATTTTTTAAATCTTCTTTCAATGCGAAAAGATTGAAATGTTTGTAGTTTGTATCGCGAAAAAGTGATAAAAGCGATACTTACGATTATAATCCCAGCGACAGTCGGGCACCATAAGGCGCCGCTTGGCATCGCGCAGTTCCAGTCTAAGAAGGCGCTGGCGCAGGCGAAGGTTGTGTATCCTGGACATCGTTCCACGTGGATTCGAGCGCACCCGCGCGCGCCTGTCCAGGATGTCTACGTCCTCGCCTGTATATGCGAGAATCGCCGACGCCGCGGGCGGCCCCGGCTGAGCCCGGCAGTGGGCCCGCGACCGCCGAGGCCCGCACCCTACCGCCCGCCGTTCCACCGCTGAAACACCCGCACAACGTCGAAGTTAGAACCCCGAGCGCGCCACCTGAGGAGAATCACCGTACGGCGGGATCGTTTTAAAGGGTTTCTGTATCCTTTCTAGGGTCGTGAAGCTCTCAACAATGCTTTCGAAGGCTTTCGTGCTCTACGTACTTGACTGGAGCTGGATAGTTGGAGAACGAGGAATGTTAGACTATAATATAGGATAAATAGCGATTGCGTTGGAACGAGAGGGTTTCCATGCGAAGCGAGTAATAGAAATAATCGTCTAGCTGCAACTGGCACACAAAGAAGTAGATAGACTTGTGTTAGAATGTGTATTTTGGTATAAGCGTTTTTATTAGATGCGTCTCAATTCTGTTTTTAGGGGACTCAGTTAATTTATTTTAGAGAATCTACGTTGTTATGTAGAAAAAGTTATTTCGAGAATTATTATATCGATCGCACGCTTTTATAAATGCGGTTAATCGAAAGATATTTGACGATTACCTTGATGCTCCTGCAATGCGCCGGTTTGCCTGGACGAGTCGCTGGCGATGCTGCTCGTCTCGCTGTCTCTAACGACACTGTCGTAACCGGAGCTCTCGGCACGATGTCTGGATAGCGTAGCTGGTGATAGCTTGGCCGCCCGCGGCGTTGTGTCTGCGCCGGAGTCGGAACCTTCTTTGTTCAGACCGAACGAGGAGCCGAGGCTAAGGATCTTACGTTGCATTCGTCCGGAGGACGGCGACGAAGATGGCATCGGCAATTGCAAAGGCGTGCCGCCTAAGATATAAAAATAGATTGCAAAAGTATATTAATTAATTTATTAATTTTCAACTGCAAATTTAGTAAAGTATGTTTATTTATTGGAATCTAAATTGATCAAAATACAATTATTCGATATTTTTGCTCTTTAAATTAAACATTAGATGCTATGATTTAAATTTGCATCGGTTTTAAATCAATGCAAATTTTTATAAAAACGTAGGAGATTTAAAACAATTTAAGGGCGCTTTGGATAAAAATTAGAATGTTGTTAGATTGATTCGCACCTTGAATCTTCAGATCCTCCTCGATGTCGGACTTTCCCGTAACCGTTCTCTCGGATCTCTCGGCAGCCGTGAACAGCTTCTTAGCCTCTATGTACTCCTCCTCGGGATCCGAGCCGGACGCTCCGTTTCCGGGTATCCTTTCGATCTCCTCCTTCAGATTAGGGTTCGAAGCACCGTCCGGATGCCTCAGATTGGAAATATTGCAGTCGCCCAGCTTGCCGCAGTACCTTCTGGGACTGGCGAGATGAGCGACGCTGCTAGGGTACCAATAGGAGGCCGTGGCGGGTCTGGACATGCTCTGACGACAATTATCGCAGATCTTCTCCTGATCGGGTTTGCCGGCTATATACGCGGGTTCGCTGTAGATGCTGCCGTGATTGCTCGCGTTGTCGTTGAACAAGACATCCGAAAGGGACAAGGATTGACAGCGAGACGGCGGACGGAAGACGGTCGCTGCTGGAATTTGTCCTGCATTAATGTTATACTGCATGTAGACCGCAGATAGCTGGCTGTAGTGCCTTGATTGAAATCTAAATTTTATTCGGAAGACGATCTTTTGTTTCCAACCGAATAGCGGATAGCAACTTCATTTTTCTTTTATTTGGATTATTATAATTTTTTTTCGAATTTTGTAAATTTATTTTATCAATTATCATAGGAAACAAACAGGAATGAAATGTAAAAGTATTATCGTCAGCGCGAATGCGGGGACGAGCAAAAATGTGTAAAAATCGCTTTCAACGACTATCGAACATCGAACATCGAGCAATGGATTACAAAGCTTGTGTACGACGGGAGTAATCCTGACGAACGCGTGACAGGCAACGTCCGTTCGCGTGGGGATTCGACGTTGCCGGCGGTAAAAAGGATGTCTGCCTTTTCTTTTTATTTCCGTACGACTGACCGAGCATCAAACCGCAAAAAGAAACTGATGAAACTTACATGGAGCGTCTCGCACGTTGACAGTGGAGGAGTTTTCTCTCTGGTAAGTCACGGAGTTAGAGACGTTGGCGAGCGCGAGTTTGTTCTGATAGAGCTCGTGGAGGCGGGCCAACTGATCGAACTTATGCCTGGTCTCTTGCTCGAGAAAGTCCTCGTGGTCGAAGTAAGGCCTGGGCAGGACACCCGCGCCGACTGGCGGTGGATAGTGCGGTCTATATCTCTCCGTGTCCGACATCACTGACATGGAGTCTGGAATTTATTTTTCGTCTCATATCTTTCGCCCGTCCGAGTTTATATCGCGCTACGCAAAAAGTCACCGTGAAGACAAACGAAGAAAAACAGTGAAACTATTACTGGGCTATAGCTGTTCGCTTCGATACGAAGAACAGATACAATGACATGTAATTACATGAGGATTTCTCTTTTCGAATTATTGTTTTCTACTATATGGCTATTACGCGCTTCGGGAAAAGTCGATTTTAAAACAACGCTTTCGGCAGAACTTTGAGTTTCGCGCGGCAGAGGCAATCGCGATGAGATAGAGATTAAATGAAATTGTATGTGGAAGAAAAACGTTTAGTTAGTGAAAGAGAAATTGTTGTACTATTTTAGACAGAAATACAGAATGCTTATAATAAATCAAGCTAGTCGGCATTCGAAAATTAAAAGACGCAACAAATTTATATTCTAAATATATATTCAACATAAAAATCTAAATATTAAAAAAATTGATTATTTAGAAAAAAATCAATTTCGAAAAAAATGTGTAGGCGTAGATTTACTCACCTGTGAAAGTTGACACTACAGTGAGATTTTCCTGGCTAAGAATCCTTAGAGGATGTTCTTCCTGGTCGCTCTCGGGCAACGGGTTCTCACCCATGCAGAGCGCAATGTCCTCCTCAGTCACTTGTAGACACGAATCCTGCATAGGTACCGGTTCCAAGTCTTCCACCTCGACGATCTCCAAAATCTCGTCCTCGGAGGACAACGAGTGTCTGGAAGGTAGGACGATGTCCTTGTGCGACAGATTCAGACTTTCCATGGAGACCTCTCGGCTGACTCCGTTGCTAAGCGGCTCGATCAACGGCAAAGGCGGAGGCACGACAATCTCTTCATCGTCGTCCTCGTCCTCCGGCAGATCGAGCTTCCCTTTTTCGATGCTGTCGTCCATCACCGGGCTAGCTGTCAGATCTAATCCCGAGTCCGTGTTAGACTTGACGTTAAGCAGATTCAGCTTGGCGCTCAGCTTTTCGGTTATATCCTCGATCTCGTTCGCTTTTAGACTGTCGCTCTCCACGGTGGACAGCGATGTATCGTCATCTTCCGCACCGCCGCAGGTCTTGAACTGCGTCAGCTCCTTGAACTGGCCGGACGACTGGCCGGAAGATGGCTTCGAGGACTCGAGCCGCGGCGCGGCGTGCTTCGCCCGCTGTATCTGCGATGACTGATTTTCCACCCACTTCCGGATCATGCTCTTCTTGTGGCTGTCCATGAAGCCGTAGCCGGAAGATGCGTGCTGATGCTGAGCGTGCAGCTGCAACGCCGGCGCGCCGGTCAGCTGCATCGGCCCGTCGATCCATGTCTCCCGCTTGTGATGAGAATCTTTCAGCAGGTGTCTGGCCTCGGCGACTTTCGACTTGGAAATTCTCGGGCCGTCTATCCACTGCTCGTCAGACCCGCCACTCGGCGCCGCCACCGGAATCTTGCTGCCGGGCGAATCGTTGATTTTGGACGCCGAGCCGCTCTTGGACGAAGAATTCTTCCTGGCCGGACTCGCTTTCGGTGTCGCGCTGTGCGCCGGCGAGGTCTGCTTCGACGCGGTCTGCGTCAGCGTTTTCACCGTCTTCGACTTGTGTGCCGGACTGCGCTCTTCCGGAATCTTGCTCGGCCTCTCGGCGGCGGAACCGCGAAGCACTCTGCCCATCACGCAACGATTGTCGCCCGAGTTCAAGCTAGGTATGTAAACGGGCGGATGCTCGCCGTCGGTGGCATCGTCGGCGCTCGGCCCGACGTAGATCACCGTGTCGGCCGACAGATCGCTCGAGCTCGGATCGCACTCGCTGTTCTGCCGAGCCGCCTCCTCGCCGGAACTGCCGCCGCTTCCGGTACCCTGTGTGCCGCTGCCGACGAACTTGATCTTCCGGCGTCGCATCCGGTGGATCCTCGACGCCAGTTGAACGGTCGTTAGCGTCTCGGTGTAGTGCTGGGCGTTGGGAGACACATGGGCTATCATGGCCGCGTGACAGGTCAAAGAGCTGAGGCATTCCTTCAGCAGTTGAGTCAATTTATGCTCTTTGTACGGCAAGTGCTTCTGGCCGTTAAAGATCGCGAGCAGAATGTTGCCCAGACCGGAGAGAGGAATTCCGCCCGACGACTTGCCGCGGTCTGAGTTTCCCAAGTCCATCAGGTGCAGCCGACTTCTACCACCGGCGACTGCACAGTCGAGAAAGGAGCGCTCATTTCGAATGTCATTACGTAAAGTGAAGAGAGCGAGAGAAATTTTACGACGACAAACGTTACATATATTTAAAAAATCCGAAGAAAAATGTATAATCAACAGCCTTTAGAAAGGCTATAAAATCTTTTTCTCAAGATATTTTTGTGAGAGAAAAGTCTTGAGAGTGGAAAGCGCAGTAACGATTTATACGAGAGTTTTCGAGATGGGATTTATTTACCTCCGCCCTTGCCGGCGACGCTGTACTGGTACACGTGCAGCGTGTAAAGCATGTGCGCGTCGCCGTCCTCCCGCTGACGACCGGCGACCGCCGCGTCGAGGTAGAAAGCCGCGCGTTCCGCCGTCGGCGCGCGTAGCTCGCTGTGCTGCTGCAATTGAAGGGTGCCAAACAGCGGATCGTCTCTGAGATACACGGCCGGTGACTGCTCCGAGTCTGGAAAGAAGGAAAAAAAACCGCAACGGTATTACGCAATGTTTATTTCGCACTTTCATGTTTCGCGTAGCACACGCGGAGAAGACGACGCGAGATTGATAAGCAGAGTAGTATTGCATAATAATATTTCGCATCTGTCGTGGACACAATTTACTTTCGCGACGATATTGAACACATTTTATGACATAAAAATGTTTTATATATCTGTTTCTTGCGCGCTTATCCGTTTTTTACGTCGTTATATTAGCGATATGACGTAATCACTATGCATTTTAATCATAAAGAAATTATAAAATGCCAGGCTCCTTGCTTTGCCAAATGGATGCATCCTGCGTAGAATTTCACCCCGAGCTTGCATAAGCTCCTCAAGTATTCTCCGTTTAATTTGATTCTATTATTTCACGAAAAAATAATATCGCGCGCAGAACGAAGAGGATCGAGATGCAGGTGCGCACCACTCGGAGCCGTAAATCGGTCGAAGCGAGGGTTGAGATATCCGCGGGACGCTTCGTCCTGAATTACGACGTCGATAAAACGTCGGAAGATACGTCGCTGGAGATACCTACGTTTCGCTATCGTGTTTTATCACGCGTTTGGTCACGGAGCTACATGCGAATAATCAGCGTAATGCGAAACATAGCTGTAAATAGTGATCAGCGTAAAAGGGCAATTACGAGGTCGGGATGGGCGCGTGGATCAGGCAATGCAATCTTCGTATTGTTGCTACTTCGCCGTGCAAATAAAACAGTCGGGTCATAAAGGAGTAGACGGAGAAAGAGGATTAGTTATCCTCGGTTAAAAGGAAAGTCGCTCGGATAAAAAGTTGCGAGGAGATCGCGAAGAAAGCACTGCGAGCTATCAATTATTTCGGATTGGACACGCGGTGATAAACGTCGCGATTGCGTGAGCACGTTTGCTGTTACGATATGTTGAATTAAAGTAAGGAAATCGCAGGGCGGATAAAATTTAATGACCCGTGAATCGTTTCTCGCATAATGGAATAATAGAAGCGAAATTGAATCTTGATTCTACTTATTCAGAAAATAAAAAAGAAATCTATTTTCTTTATCGTCGTTCCGTCAACATATTACACAGAAGAAATCTTGTACAAGTTGAACGTATAGCAACTAAGATAAATGCATGATGTATAGCTGGAATCGATTCGCATCATATTTATGCATGTAGATTCGCTGATTGTGTGGAAAAAATGTGAAATATGAAACAAAGGAAAGGAAAGTCGGAAACATCATCAAACGCATTCAAGTCGCTTTTTGCATGGAGATGAAATCGTACGCTTCACGGCGGTGGATTGAAAGTGCAGACTAAGGATTTCTTCGCGCCGTTGCACTGGAATTCGTAGCGATCCATAAGAAAGCTCGTAAAAAGTTGCGATAGCGAATTCATGCGGATTTTCGATCAAGAAACGTCGGTACTGTATAAGTACGAGAGTCGCGGACGAAATCGAATGAAAACGCCATTACATTTTCGGGATTATTTTCTGACAGTGCGGCATGGGAGTTCCGGGAAGTCGGAGATTCGAAGACGGATCTCAAGTCCGAATAATATAAAAATCCGAGTAATATAAAATTCGGAAGTGCATCTCGCACAACTGAAAAGTAGCTAAAGGGAACGTAAATATTGTTAAGAGCACGTTTGATAATGCGCTCCTTTCGTGTCCGCGAGACGTGAAGGATCCATAAAAGAGCCCGGACGAGCACGCGGACGAGAATTTAATTCGAGTAATGCTTCTCGAGTACCTACGTAGCTTTGTATCTCCGGCACCGTGCGCATTCGTCTACCCGAAATTACTTCACCGTCGCTCTCACTAACCCCGCACGTGTATTTTTATGCGGCCACGTCTCTGCGCCACGGAGCGCCACGGAGCGCTACGGTTGATACGCTGGACGTCATTCGCGTTTATATGGTGTTTAGATAACCCCATCCACGTTCGTAAATTGCCAATTAGCCTTTTACTGCCGAACGCGAGCTCGTCTCCTCGCGCTTCCACCTTCATCACGACATCATAAAGAACGCAAAGGAAAGACGTTAAAGGATAAGGACGGGGCGCGACGACATATGCCGCAGTTTATTTCCGCCAGGCCGTCTGCGACTTTTCACATCTGTTCCTGCCGGAAACCTTTTACCGCTCCTTTATGCCGCGCCGGGGAAATGGCCGCGAGCTTCGCACGGGATCACGACGAATGGGCTCCGTGCGAGCTTTCGCCGAGTCATCGAGCGATTGATTTCGACTATATCCGATCATATTAGACGAGATATACTGCTACGGTCCGAGCGAGCCGCTCCGCCTCCGCTGAGCAGTTGAGCGTGCGATGAGGGAAACAAGAGGCGCGCGCGAAGGCGGGAGGTGGGAGTATCCTCTAGACTTGCCCGAGCCTCCTTGATTTCCGTAATTTGCGAAGTCTCGGGGAACTGACTTAGCCGTAGATGTTCGATAATGAAATTCGGCGAGGCGTATCCGATGAGAGCGAGAATGAGAGAGAGAGAGAGAGAGAGAGAGAGAGAGAGAGAAAAAAGCGACATCAGATTATTTGCATAGATCGATAATAGTGCGCACCTGTATAGAAATTTAGATAATTCCGCGGATTTTGTATATCGAAAGCTCTTAATAATAGAAGCGCGAAAGTGAGCGATAGCGTTAGAAGCCTTTGCAGGGCTTTGTAAGAATCCGGATTAAGGGGGATGGGAAGGGAGAGGGGGTATTAATATTTATGAAGCACGTGAAGTGGCTCGAATAAGTCCGCGGTTTCTCCGGCTTCTGTTGGCATTAAGCCGCAGTGATAAAGTAAGGAGAAAAGTTGATAATTGTTAAAGTAGTAAGTACACTACATTTCGCTGCATTTAATAGCGAATTTTTGCATCATTAAGTCGGCGTGTCTTAATTTTAGATTGATTTTAGAGTCTTTTAATGCTCAACTGACTGCACAACATGCATTTCTTTATGTATAAAAGAAAAATTTAACGAGAGATTGATTTTTCTTCAGAAAACAAAAATTTAATAAGATAAACAATGTTGTTTGTGTAGCTTGTCTGTATAAATCTGTTAAAGACGCGTGTTTAAAGGCGTTTTTTCTATCATCATGCGGTATTAGAGCGCCCGCTCTCATTAAATCGTATAAATTTCCCGATTTCTTGACCGAGGGGTGACGTAAACGACGCTTAAACTTCGCAAACTGGAATACGACGCCCCGAAATGCACGACAGGCTACACCTCGAGGTAATAATAAGGACGGCCCGGTCTGGCCAAAGTTATACGGATATACGCGGCACGTATATACACCGTGGCCCGCGTATAATAATTCACACAGATATGGAGCGTGGATGTACGGTGCAGAAGCGGCGTAGCAATATCCATAAAAGGGACCAGAGGATGTAATATTACCGGCATCTGTGCCCTGCGGTGCAGAAGTACCGCGAGGAAGGAGACGACAAGTCCGCGACGTCGACGATTGCAACGCGAAGTAAAAGGAGAAACGAAATATGCGGGGGAAAAAATTGAAAAAAAAAAAAAAAAGAATCTGTGCGCAGCACCTTACCTTTCGGCAAAGAAATACGTAATGGACGCGGTTTCAGTTTACGGCAATTGTGAGCGGACGAACGAGCGTTACGCTCACTGCTGGCGTCGCAGGGGATCGGGAGAAAAGGAGCGCCTCGAACCTCCCTCTGAATAAATCGTTTTTCGACGCGTTTCGAATACAGTTTCCGCGCCCGATCCCCTCGATCGTAACAGTCCTCGTCGTCGCTGGGGCAGAAGGGCAGTAAAGGAAATCTGTTTCGCCTTTCCGGACGGCCGGCTGCGCCCCGGTACGCGACTTGTTTCCCGAGCTCCGCAATATTTCCACGAGAAGTTTCTCGCCCCGGAGCACGCGTGACGTATCGTTATGAATCAGAGCCCTTCGGGGACAGTTTTATCCACTTGCATCGTTATTAAAGGCGATCACCATTATGCCGGGATTTCTTGACGCGAGATGTTCGGTGTTATTGGACAGTGTTAATCCTTTCACCAGACACCGTGTAACACCATAGAGCCAACAACAGCGAATTAGATCATTAGAATGCACGTGACACAGAATCATTTAATATTGCACGATCATTTCTGTCGCGAGAAATTAATTTCCCGAGATTTAATAAACAATGGTAATAGTATTCTAGAATCATTTTCGAGATTCGGAAAAATTTGTTAATCTCTGCATTATACTTTTCCAAATATAACGAATCAAAAAGACCCTACGTGGAATACGATCCGGGAATAGAATTATGTATGTACTTCTTTCTGGAACAAAGCAATTTTGTCCCTTACGATTTAATAAACGTCGTACAGGTTTTCTGACGATTTAATATCCTGAAACACTCTCATTTCATGAACTCCGGCGAGAGCAATACTACGGTCATTGACGCGAGTTCCCTAAGGTGTTTTTTCAGTGCCGCGGCATATAGAATCCGTATCGTATAACGTGACTTCTGGGAAATTGATTTTTATAATAGATATAAAAATTTTATTTCAATGCTTTATCCACATAAATATTTCACGACGAATAAATCACGTAGCGTTTGCCGTATAAAAATTACAGAGCGTACGGATAACCGATTAGATAGATATGTATAACATCTAATAATACTCGAAGGATGATAACTTGAAGAGTATGTTCCACATTAAAGTATCATACATCACTCAAAGTATCCTTACTTCCTCGTTCGCTTCGGTACATAAGAGTGCATTATAGAGACACGCCGCGGCCGGCTTTTCCGAAAGTGTCAAGGTTGATATATCGGTTGCACCATGCGGCGGGACTTCCTTGTCTGCGCGGAATAAGACGGCGCCCGATTCGCAAGGCATCCTGTGTATCCACGTGTAATATCACGAACCTTTCGATAGCGAAGAAACGAAGCCGAAAGGAGAGCAGAAGAAAATTAACGAACCGCAGATAAAATTAAGGCGGACCGCGTATTGAAGTAAAAGCAGTCGGTGTTCGTTGGATCTA